TTTTAAATCTATACCTACCTTTCATTACATGCTAACAAAATCTGACATGAAACAAAACAAAAACTAGAAAGCTTTTTGTCCTAATTTACTAATATTTCCATGTTATTATAAATAGAATGTATTTTAATGTTTGAAAGAAGCGGAATCGCGTCATGTAAGAAATGATATTTTTGAACAAATTTAGGGAAGTTTTATCAGAATATTTATTGTTTTTTCTGAACTATTATTATTTGTCTTTTAGTTAGTGTCAAGTTAATTTTCCGATGAATTACATACTTCCGGACAACATTCGGACAGAATGTTTAATAGGAATCGAAAAAGTAAAACAACAATTTACGATGATGAGACGAGAAATTCTAACTTCCTATGAAAATTATAAAGGCAATAAAACTGTCCCTATACTATAATAATTGGAGTTTATAAATAACGATTATAGAATTATGGGTATTGTTGTTTGCAATTTAAATCATAAAAAAATCATTGTTAGATCATCTTTAGAAACAGCAGTTTTGTCCGGGTATGAGACACATCAGTTGCACGCAACCAACACTCCTACACCTTGCAGGATTCGAACCCAGGACCTTCAGTGTGGCACGCGAGCTCCTAACCTCGGGCCGACATTCAACGGCGTTAATGTATACCTCTGATCAATCTAAGATTTTGCTTTACCTCACCTATTGTTTTTGGTAGTTACTGCCTATTTGTACATAACTTGAATTTCTAACGAACAGAAGAATCGGTTTTTGGTCTCAAAAACTGACAAAAGCTTTTGTAACTTGCTTACTGCATGCAAAACTATATGGATATATTATAATATCGATGAAAGAACGAATATCAGATAAATTTAAAAAATTAAAAAAGATGGATTCATCATTAGGCTGTAATTTTCATTGGCTAACTATATATTTTATAATTTGATTTAGTGAACAAGTTGCTAATAATAATGAAATATTAAATTTCGAATATAAAATAATTCAAAAACATTGCCTCTGTTATTTGTTTTTTGAATAACTAGTTCATTGATAATAATATTACTTATATTGGTGTATTTTGGTTAAAACTAGCTGGTCATTCTTCGAATTATATACAATACACCAAAGTTACTACTTTGATCGACTAAGATCGTTGAAAGACTTTCTTCTATCCGCAAAATATAAAACGAACATAGAATAGAAGAGATGAATAATCTGGAAGTGAAATGTTTGATAGCTAAATTATCTACTCTCAAAGTATTAAAATCTGCTGTTGGTTATCTTACTAAGGGATACTGGAAATGGCTTGACCGTTAGGTCAATGGATCCACTCCGTTGAACATAGGTGAACGTACCATTAGTGAGCGCATTACAACTTAGCTTGTAACTAAAACATCAGATTGGTACAAAGAATAAAAGGCACTCAGTCAGTCAGTTAATTACAACGTAGAATTACGTACTTACGAACTTCAGTTCAAGTTGCCATGCAGCATTAGCATAGAGACGCCACCATCAGTTCAAATCCCACAGTGGTAGAGATAGTAGTAATATTAGCCTTATTGGAGAATATTAGGGATCAAAGGTATTATTCAAGAAGTATAGTTCAGCCAGATAACTTTAGAAAAAGAAAAACGTAATGAATTCTGAAGATTAGAATTTGAGAGAACACAAAGAATCGATGCACTTGTGCCATTACAAATGATTTTGAGCTATGTTGTTCAAGATCTCTAACCATCGGTGACGATCGTCTCCCGAACCCCAGCCAGGTAGCCTGCACCTACCAAAGTGATTCAATTCACTTGTCAGTGACTTTATGTGTTTCGGCCATGTTTTGGTTTGGCCGCCACTAGCTTCCTTCCAACCTACTCCCACACTACAAAACATTGCTCGCCGAGAAAGTCAGTGGTTGGACATTCGTAACACATGTTCAAACCACCTCAACTGGTTGAGTTTCAACACTTCATCTATTGATCTGTTATCCTTACATATCACTCGGGTGTCCCAGCATATACGAGAAACGCTTGAAAGACATCTATAATCGAATACTAATAACCTACGAACGTCTTCTACTCTTACCGGCCATGTTTCGTCACCATAAAGAAGGACAGACCAAACTGCCGCACAGTACACTGGTCCTTTAGTCAGCAAACGGATATCTCGCCTACACCTTAAGTGACGCAAGCTTTCTGTATCCTTGCTGAGATCGCATCAGTCAACAGACAATCGGCACTGTCGAGACTCCCCAGAGAAGTGGAGCGGTCTACACGCTCCACTACTTCACTCCTAATCACTAGTTCAGGTGCCGATGCAATCTTATCCTGAAGCAACATTTTGCATTTCGTGGAGGAAAAGCGCATACTAAGGTAAAGCATGTCTACGACAAAGTTAAACAGGAATGGAGAGAGTGGACAGCCCTTACTCAAACAGTGGTGTTCGCGTAGAGTTCTTGTATAAGGTTAATGAACTTCTTTGGTACACCTTTCAATCACAGACACTACCACAGAACCTCACAATCAACAGAGTCGAATGCCGCTTCAAGGTCCATAAATACTACTATTGTGGGACGTCTTTGTATATCTTTGTTTTAGGACCTGACCCAGTGTAAATATTTGGTCTATACACCCACTTCCAGGTCTGAAACCAGCCTGGTTTTCTCTGGTTTGATCTTAACGAGCTTTCGTCAAGCGTCGGAGTATTATCGAAGCCAATATTTCCGGTACTATATTATTAAGGCTGATTCCTCTGTGTGTCACCAGAGGACTTTTGTCCTTTCTTCTATATTGGAACAACCAGCGATTCAGACCAGTCAGATGGGATTACGCCTAGTTCCCAGATTCTACCTAAGATCTAACTGTTAAAACTGGAACACCATCCTTTAAATTTTAAGGGGTAAGCCTGTCAGGCATTGCTGTTCTACCACGCTTCAGATTTCCTATAGCTTTGTCAAATTCATAAAGAGTTGAAGGACTTATATTGATTTGCCATTCAGGATGATTGGGGATCGTGGACAACCGAAGGGTGGCTGAATGCCAGTTGAACTGATCCCTAAAGTGTTCTGCCTATCGATACAGTCCCCTGTGTTGAGAAGGAATCATAAGCCCATCCTTTTCTGAGATAGTTTCGCTTACAGATTGATTTCTAGTACCGGTTTCTTTGATACGTCGGAACAACTGTCTACTGTCGCTTACTGCCGCAGCCTTTTCCATCTTTCTCGCTTTCTCTACCAACCACTGTTCGAGATCATTGCGTAGGCTTTTATCAGCCTGAGCCTTAGCCGTCTTTGCTCTTCATCATATTTAGAGCCAGGTGGGATGAGTTTACGAGCATCCACCAGTTCGGTAGATGCTACTGAGATCCATGGCTTCTTCCTAGCCATATGCTTTACCTTACTAGTAGATATCGCTGCTGTTTCCACCATTCCAAGCTGCCTCCGGATGGAGATCACTTACATGGTCGGTCGCCTAGCTGTTTATCTAGTTGCTCCTGAAATATGTTCATAGCTCTACTATCATTAGGTAGAACCCTACGAGGTTTCCTGGCAGTGTCATTCCTACGTCCAGTAAGCCGCAAACTAATACGAGCTCGCACTAGAGCATGATCTGGATCTAAACTTGTGCCCCAGCACGAGCGGCGGTCCTCTATCGAACCCCTCCATCGGTGGCTTATGGCAATGTGATCTAGTTGGGTCCATCGTTGAGACAACTTCGGGGGTCGCCAGGTCAAAAGATATTTTTCCTTATGCTTAAAATTAGTGTTTGCTAGAAATAGGCGGTTATCTGAGCACAGTTGCAACAGACCTTCGCCATAATCTTTTCTATTAGCCGAGACACCAGGTGTCTTTCCTTTTGACTTAGCCTACGTCAGCATTGAAGTCACCAGCCATTATTACTATATCAGAGTGCCTAACATTTTTGGAGGAGGTCCGAAAGCTTTCTGTAAAACATCCTTCACCTCGTCTGAACTGCGTCAGAGGGAGCGTAGGCAGATACGACGAAGATGCAACGGTGAGTGTCCTTATCTTCCCCAGTTCTCACTGTACCATTTAGTCAGAATGCGCTCAAGCGAGTATCTACTGCGATCCAGTCTAGGAGAATTAATTCTGCCCTAGGATTCAATACTAAACCTACACCAGCTAGAACCAGTGAAGGAGAATCGAGTCCTCCAGATACACGAAGAGTAAATCGAGTCGCTTCTTTATTTTGACAAGGTGAAATCAAATTAATGGTTTTACTAGGATCCTGCGTGCGCGTTTCGGAGACGCAGCATACATCGATGGCGCGAGATTCTAAAGACCTAGCTGGAAAAGCTTGTTGCTTGTAGATTACGTGCAAGCATTTTTATTAGTCATCTAACTTTCTGCTCTGTATTCAGAAGCAATCGACACAATTATTGCTGATCGAATTCATCTCCACGTTTAAGAATAGACTTAATCGGAACTTCAAGAGATCCTTAAAAACAATATTAGTTATCGTCTATATAAAATGTCTGTCAAAATTATTAGTTGAATTCTCTATACCAACTTGCATTTCACAAGACTGTCCAAATCGTAATCTATTAGGCATGTACTAATCAGTATTCACTTCAGATAGAACATTATAATTATGTTCGAATTTATTGTATCTAGGATTTGAATCAAACGTGAATTAATGTACAAAACAGTCATTACTACATGAATGAGTATTATACTGTTCACTTTGTCATTTATATTAATCTCTAGAAATCTTTGCAACGAATCGAGTCGAAAAATTTGTTGATAGTCAAATTATGACATCTCAAATACTGTATAAATTCTTCATATACGGTGACAATGGTGAACATGTAGGCGGTTTGTTTATCGATGTTAGAGTCAACATGACCGGTTTCCTACTAGAACTCCAAATCATTAGTGTATAGTACAGAGAAATATCTACAGCGAATTACAAGCTTTCTAATCAGTTTAGCCAATAAATAAAGTATCGAAGTATACTGTACTATAATAATAAATTAATGAACCCCAGTAAGACAACTAAAATAAGAATTTTTAATTTCTTCCACTAAATGTATTTTAACAAAATCAAAAAAAAACAAACAAAAAAAACGATTATAACAAACAAGTTGTGGAAAACAGTTTACATAAATTGGTGAGCACGTAATTTTTGTATGTACATACTTTCATGATATACATACACTACATAATTGGTAACTAATAAGGCGTAACAGTTGGCAAGATAAAAAAATTATTAAAAATAAAACATAGTTCATGGAACAGGTGAGCGCAGATTTAAACTCTAATTATAAGTGAACATTGAGTTATGCAATATACTATAATCAATCTGAATGAAAAAACTTGAAAAATATATTTTTCTTGACCAATTTTATTTGAGGAATTAGGAATATTTCTTCATAAATGATGTATGAAACTCTTCAATTTGTTTCATAACATATTTCATCTTTTCAATAGATGGTAGGATTGTAGTTCTGTATGGAATTAGCAAAAAAATAAGCAAAAAACACAGAGTTTAAAAATTTCATGATTTGACATATCGAATGAATGAATTTTAACTAGTGCTATAATGTGACGATACTAAACAAGATAATAGTTACGATTTCAGTCTTAATTACTTGATTGATAATTGAATGTTACTGTACTTGATCAACAAATTTTAGCAAACAAACGAAGTCTAAAGATATTTTAAATGTCATCTTCAAAAATCGTAACGCATTTACTAAAAGTGAAGAGGTGACTTGGTGATTAAGACGTTTAACTTTCAGCCATCAAATTGCAAGTTTGAAACCTGCTCCACCTATTTCACATTATGTAATCAAGTAATGTCATTGGCGTTCCGCTTGAAATGTATCTTGAAGCCATGTACATGATCTCATGAGTTCATTGTAATTACTTTAGTTTCAACAGACACGGGTAGTTTCACTGAGTATTCCTTACATACTTATAATTTACCACAAAATGAATACTTGATCGGTATTTATTAACAGAATTATATTAAATAATACGATGAATATAAACTAATCAGTGATACTTTAAAGCCTGAAGAAATTGTATCTACAAGTATCCGATGAATTTCCTAACAAAATCAAACTTACTTTTACGATCCTAGTTCTTATCGTAGTCCAATAATATGAGACAATATTATCTAAGTGAAATCTCTTGAATTTCATGCCATTACATAGAATGTACTTCATTGTACAAGCAATGATAAAACCAATCTCATTACATACAGTTCAGATGTTCAGAATGGCTTAATTGCGAAAATTAGCACTGATAAACTGTTAACATCATATTATTAGTGAATATTCACAATGATGCTTGAAATTAGTTTGTCAAACCATAAATACCAGTTGACAGATTTGTATAATCTGTTTGCAGTGAATCATAATACATTGTACTTATCAAAAACTATAATGATTTCTAGACAATTTATATGATCATGTATGAAATTATTTCATTTACACTATTTATAACCAGAGTTAGAAATGATGAATATACATAGATCACTTAAGTTAAGACAGATGAATGAACTACGTATTTATCAAATAATTTATGTGTGAATTGTAGAAAAAATATATGGAAGTCTTAGTTACTTCGTAAATATTATATGCAAAAAAAAGACTTGGTTATTTGTTTAACACAATAGTTTAGTAAGGTGTATGAAATATTAACTATAGACAAAACTGAAAAGTCATTTTTTATACTTGACGTAACTACACTGCTTAATTAGTAAAATTTCGAAACGTATTAAAAATTTATTCACATTCCAATCATCTGATTGAAATTATCATTCTTTTTATAGTGAATCTATGCAAAATAGTTTATTAATATTACTAAAAATAAAAACTAAACATCTTATAGTTTTTCCCACAAATAGTATTCTGTATTTGAATTCATCAGCATTTCAGGCTGTTACCAATACTATGAAAAATCTATAGAAATTTGAAATGACTGGGGAAGCTTCAGCTAAAACTAGTTTATGGATACTTGATAGAGTCAAAGTACTTGAATTCAATTCGTTAAACTGCAAGTTCTACCACCATTTCATCTGTGATGATTCTGACACCCGGAGTGGCTAAAAACCAAGTACACAAGTATACACTTGGAATAGATTTATACCAGTCATGGCAGTTCTGTGCTTCATTGCTTAGTTTCAGAAAAGAACCGGGTCGATTACACAAACGCTAAAGCTACGCCAATACAAAAACCATCACTTAAATACTAAGTACCTGAGCTGGATGGTGTTGTCTAAAGATAGCTAAGTGAAATTAATCAAATCATAAGTAACCAACTTGGAGGTTTTAGTAGAAATATCAACGAAAAGTTATTCTTTGAACCAAAAGTATGAATGATCAATAAATTATCAGTTAGAATTCATCATGGACTGAATCGATGTAAATACATCATTAGTCTTACTCAGAACATTAGTGAATGAAGTTATGAAAACGGTTATAGACTAGATCGCAAGGATTTTTAAAGCACTTTCTGATGAGTGCAGCTGATGTAGTCAATTACGGATAATGCTTCACTTATGAGGTCGAATGGTTGGCCTAACCAACGTAGATGAAACGGGTACTGAACCTGTGAATCAATAATTGAAAGCCAAACGTTTCAATCAAGTCGCTACACTCATTCAGTTACAACGTAGATCGTCTCCCGGACCCCAGCCAAGTGTGGTCCACATGTACCAACATGACTCAGTCCTGTTGTTAGTGAATTAATGGATTTGTGCCATGTTCTGGTTGGCCCCGCGTCGCTTTCTTACAACCTACTCCTACATCACAACGAGGCGGTCGGGGTTTGGGCATACGTAACACATGTTTAAACCACCTCACTTGATGCAGTTTCAATACATCACCTATTGATTTACCACTCTACCTAGAACTCGTTTCCATTACTTTAACAACTGAGTCATTAGTCCACATAGAAAAAGACAAGTTTGATGGTCTAACAGAGAGAAACAACTTTGGTAGGATATGATCCATTCAGATGAATGTAATTACTCTACATTTCAATATGTTTTTTCAACGATTTAAATTTATGTGAGAAAAATATTACAATCAAACATAACGAAACCAAAACATTGATATTTTTAATATATAATGTACGGAGATTAAATGTAAGAGAAATATTTTGATCTGTCGTTATATATATATATATATATATATATATATATCAGCGAAAGGACATATTTGTAAATAAATTATTCACCTGAAATGAAATGTTCCTTCCTTTTGTCCGAAACCAGAACCGGGTACTACACATATACCTTTTTCTTCTAACAATTGCAAACAGTAGAAGAAATCTGGTGCTTCCCCTCTTCTCTACAATTTACACATATGAATTACTCATATTATCTTTTGGAATAAAAGAGAATAAGTTTAAGAAAAGGAATAGAAAATTAGTTCTAAAAAAACGTTTATTACTGATAGGTTGGTAGTCACCAAGTTTAACTTCATCACACAGATCGATAGTTCCCCCTATCATATTGTTTTTGTAAGTGTATCTGACAGATAGATCGTGCTAAGATATTAATATATTAGGATTAGACTTTTGAACTCGTTAAAATAGTTACAAAATCTATTTAACAATTTCATTTCGAACGCAAAGAAAAACCAGCTAGCCAAGTGAAAGCAAACATAACCTTCACCAATCGAAAAGAAATAATACATACATACATACATGCAGCCGGTACTCATTTATAGGAATTCGAATGACCCAGACAGCTTACAATTGTTCGGTAACCTTTGACTATGGGAATAATGAATTTATCGAAATAAGAACAGAAGACTATAGATACGTAGTAATTTGCTTTTAGGTACGTTAACATGACGAACACTATAATCGGACGTTATTTCCTGAAAATTTGATTTCATTTTACCTGATATTTTCAAATTATGATTGATTGTAATGGGTGTTAGTTGATGTGATACAGTTTCCACGAAGGAAACTTACGATTCAATAGTCCAGGAAGCCCTGATGAGTACTTCCAACTACCTAAAACTTATATATGTTTGAGTCTAGCTCTGTGTGGTTTGAACCTCTGTATTCGCTAACCACTCATAAAGCCATGTTTCCAATTTTGGGAATCCAACCCTCACATTTAGTGACAGTTAAGTTATTGGGACAAAAATGAAGAAAATTGCTTCAAATGAAACAATGAAAACAATCTTCGAAAGTTTAAGCTGTTGAACTTTTAAGCACTACACTGCGTTTTCAAAGTTTCGGGAGGTTCAGTCTACAGATTCGGATAGCGATTGATATTTTTGATTCACCGTAAGTAAATATAACTCCCAGGTCAGAAATGGATTAGCTTTAACTGAAAAAAGAAACATGGAGATAATGGTAAAAGTTTCAAATATAAGTTTGTGACTAAACTTACGTTAGCTTCCTGAATAGCTTTTGGTGGTAAATGTATGCGCGGAAAGGCATACATTGCTCCTTGAACAGGATTACACGACATATTTGACATTGAGTTCAATGCATTATAGGTTATGGAAGCTTTTTCTTTCAATGCACTTAATACATCATCTCGTTCTTTGATAAATAATGAATATGATGGTTCACTTGGTCTAGGTGGATTTACGATCGTTTCTAATACTACCTAAATAATGTTGATTTACACAAAAGCATGAAAGATTAAATGACACTGATAAGACTTCTAGACATTTGATGTACTGAGAAAGAAACATGATATACTGGTCATTTATTAGAAACAAGATCTACTGCGGTAACACGTGACATTGTTTTGAACCGAGATACAACTGGTTGTAAAAGGATTGTCTCAGAGCTTTGAGACAATCCAATTTTCTTGGTGTGGTTTAAGGTGTGGTGGGATTTTGCTAAAGTAACTACTGTGCATCGTATATCACTTGTCCTGATAACTGCTTTTAAACAACTCTCAACAGTGTTTAAATTTCAGAAAACGGCATAAATCGGTAAGTAGTGTATTGTTGCGCAGCGCAAACCAAAATGCCATCAAACGCATACAGTGAATACGAACAAAAATCAGAATGAATGAGTAAATAAGATCTAGGACGTACATATGCATAAGCAAGCGAATGGACCATCAGGCGATTTAAGTAGGTAATACTGAAGCTAGCAAGAGGTGGTATACATATATATATATATATATATATATATATATATATATGATCAAACATGCATTATCATGAAAGCATGAGGATAATGACGTAAGTATATGAGCAAACTGTTACCAAAATTACTGACACTGTCTATTGAATAGCTTAACTGAGGGGCTTCATAAATTTGAACGCATTCAAACTTGAATACGTGTAATGGTGATATAGATTTATAAAAATCAGCAATAGATGTAGCACGCAAAAGTAACATAACTAGCTTACACAGGGAGAAGGTCGAATTCACCACACCTAATTCATACTCAATTCCTCTTAGGTCAACAAGCATTAAAGTTACAAGTATTGGATAAAAAGGACCCACCTTGACAATAAGATAATAATGATACCTCTAGAGTAACAAACCATGACCTCTTAACATCGGTATTTTGCTTAAAATTAACCTACTAATCGATCAAGTCGGTTGAACAGAGGCATTTTGGTTAGATGATAAATATTTGGAATGAACCAGGCAGAAATCGTGACCCTAGTGTTACCTACTTCATTGAATAAGTTATTATGCTAAATTTTTAAGGCTGAAATGACACGTTTTGTCATGATACCAGCTATGAATTAGAATAACATGAACTCCGATGATTGTGGCTGATGAATCAGGTTAAGCTTTTAAAATTCCCAGTTACATGTTGATTGTTTAATAAATTCCAATGCGTGTTCCATTTACCTCTTTATGTTTGGGTAATTTGATTTCAGTTTAATAACGTTCAGGTTCTTAAAAGTATATGTATGGCTCTATATGGATAAAATGTAGCCAAACAGAAAATTGAATGACTGGACAAACGTTTATTGAAATATTTAAATAACTGAAATATTAAAAACCGGATTCCTAATTTCTACATATTAATTAATGGTCGATCTTTATTTAATTTATTAATATTATGGCCGTTCGAATTATATCGTAATGAGAAAGTTAAATCACTTATAAGAATTGCTCTGAACTGAAGTGAAATAAATTAAAAGCTACGAAATACTATACCTGTCCCATCAAAGGTGGACATAATCGTGCTGAAAGAGCTTTATAAAGCTGGGCTTGAACAGCTGGATCAAAATTTAACAATTCACAATATCCACCACGATATCCGCATCTAGAATAGATAGAAATATTGAGAAAGTAGTGTTTAGAAAGTGATAAACAACATAAGAAATCAAACGCTAAGTCAAATTAGCCAGTATCAGTACGCAGCTAGATCAGATTGCACTTTTTCAACTGTTCTTGCCTAGAAGATCCACTGAAATAGCCAAATAAAACTAATGACTTTGCTATAAGCTGTCTCACAATGAGTATTCAGATGGCTTTTTCTGCAGAGTTCATACATATAGTTTAGCATTACATCGAAAATATTTTATCACAAACGATCCGACAAAAAATACGCTACTTAGTTAAAGTAAAATTATCAGATAAATCCACATAAACTCGATAAAACTGTCTTTCGGGAAAATATTTATTTGCGGTACCATAACTTATTACTTATAAGACAGTATTCTCTGAGTCTACATTTCCAGCAAAGCTCACTATATGCTCTCTCTTATTTAGATGAGTTGCTCAACAACGCCGGTTATCAAGTTTTGTTACAATATTTATTTTTAACTAATAATAGCATAGAATTATAGCTTATCAGGCTTCCATTATTCAGACTTTTAGGTGTGTTAGGGCTTGTAAAACCTCTCATCCGACACAACGACTATGACTGTGTTCAACAATTTAAGAGAAGTAGTGAGTGCATTTGGTTTCTGTAGTTTTCGAATTTTTTTGATTAAGATTCTGCTGGATGGGAAGGCCAACTTTATATTCAAAAAGTTTATCCAGGCTTCTTGCCTGAAGTAACCTTAGACGGACTTAATGTGGGAATGGGTAGAACACTGCAGAAATAATTAAACTCTATCGCAAACCAAGTCTTAACTTGGAATTTTCAAGGTAAAAAAAGGGGACCAAAAGACAAATGTTCTCAGAGTAATTCAATTTCATGCAGTAGACCAACACGCAATAGCTTATAAATAATATATAACTGCACACCTGTTTAAGTTGCTTCACTTTTTGGAACAATTAAAGAAGAACTCAATAAATAGTGAAGTGTTGATTACATGTTGAAAATCTTTTAAATAATGACTTACTCTCCCATGTAACCTTTGCTACAAGACATGAGCGAAGCCAATTCCAATTTTTCTGAGTAACTTGGTCCCATATTGAACAAAACTTTTTTAAAACTAACCCATGGATATTTGTCCGGCTGGTAAAAATTATGCTGGTAAACTTCGTCAGCTATCAAAATCAGTCGGTTATCAACTGCAAATTTAATAATATCCTCCATACATTTTTGTGGGAGTACTTGACCTGTCGGATTTCCTGGATTAATAATAACTATGGCTCTTGGTATGCATTGTCCTTTTACACTCGTCAGTGCTCGTTTCAATTCATCGGCAGATAAAGACCAGTTATCATTTTCATCTAGGTAGTAGTTGATCTAAAATTTTTTTAGCATGAATGAAGAATAAAACTCAGGATAATTTTTAGATGAAAACTTCAAGTGGTATCCACAGAAATTTACTAAAATTATTAGTCATTGACTTCTGATTCAGGTTTTGTGATAAAATGGTGAAAAGTACCGTTGAGTTAATCGTTATCATAACTCGATGATGCATATGTAAACCTACAGTAGAGAAACGTATGTTGTCATTTATTCAGAGTTGAGATTGCTATCCAAGTTCTCATTTTGTAGATGAACTTTTCTTAGAATTCACTGTGGCCAGCATCATTCTTAAACGTAAGACGAGTTACGTTGCATTTAAAAATGCAATCCATAAATAGATAGATGATTCATTAGTATGACCAGAAGAAAAATTATAAACACTACAATTCCGAATAAGGAACCAGAGATGTTATTCACATTTAAAGCCAATAGACTAAAAAAAGCCATGAAAAGACACTTTCCAGAGCTCTGAAGATAGGATTTTACCCTCAAATTTAATGAAAACCACACGAATTCAGTTTATGCCAAAATTCTAATCTGACTAAAATTCATTCATATACCATAACATTTGACGAGGAAACTTGCCACATAATTGGTTAACAGTAACAAAAAGGAGTTATTAACCAACCTGGAAGTTATTGTATTCGGAATTCGTAGCTGAATATAGAGGATATTGTGGTACGGGAATCATAACACCTGCACGTTTACTGTCTTGACCAGGGGTGGATATCATTTCCAGTAACATCTAAAATTTTACAAAAATGTGGCTGGGTCAAAATTCACTGAAATGACCACATCTACCATATCCAAAATAAAAAAAGACCAATATAAGCCGCCAAAAACTCACCACATGATTATTTGTGCCATGTATCAATCCAAGAACAATTATGTTGTTACCAACTGACTAGTTTTGAAAAATACCAAATCCTCAAACGTTGCGTATAGGTAACATTATATTACCCGTGTTTCAATTAAAGATTTCACAGCTGACCACATAACAAGCACAGAAAAACCTGTGACATAATTTTATTTCTTGGCAATGCGCTCATAATTCCCATAAGGCAGCTGGAACTCATCATTTGCAGTCCTGAATATCAACAATCGGAAATTATAAACCCTCTCCAATAAGTGAAGAATTATCAGAAAATATGATCCAGTATCAGAGCAACATAAAACTATGTGTTGAAATGTATTCGATGATTAAGCGTCCTCGATAACTCGAAATCTCGTTAAGAAAGCTAATAAACTACAAGCCATTCTGATAATCTGTTATTTCATGGTTGATAAGTCCTTTGTGTTGGCCCTCAATGCATCGATTGTGTGTACTGAAACAATCGAATATGAATGGATAAAACTCAGTGGAACGTTATTCAGAAGGAAAATAATTTATTTCTATCGTTTTAATATGTGTTAGTTCCTTATTCTCTATATAAATGAAGCAGCGAAACGTGAATAACTGATTTTTAGTACACTTAACATCTCTCTTCTCACTTTATTGGCATGTCTTATTCAGCTACAAAGTAGTAACAGACTAAATTTTTACCTATTTTAGTAAACGGTCAACTACTAAAACCGACGTTTGAGCTCTGTTGTGAACATTCCTTAAAACTTTCAGGCGTTTAGAGAAAATTTTAGCAAATAATCTGTGAAACAATCTACTATGTGGTAAATCCCGTCCAATGGTCTTGTGTATACTCAGTAAGATTCTTAGAAAAAGTACGTAGAAAGTGGTTTTTAGCTATTTATCGTTTGAAGTTGATTCAGTCGACATAAATCCTGGGAAAATGAAATCTTAAGTCAATAAAACTCGCACCCAACAAAGTTGATTATGTGATCTGATAACAAGAAGCGTTTTAAACGAGAGAAAAATACCTTCACAGCCTCCGTAGCCCCACAAGCTAAGAAAATATTCTCCCACTTCGACTCAATCCCATCACGTTGGTGTATATATTTCGCCACATCTTTGCGCACTAATTCCAGCCCCAGAGAGTGACTGTAAGAACCTGGAATCAAGGAACGGGGTAAACACTGAGCTGCATGTACCATAAGTGCGCAGAAAACTGACGGCATGGTAATAAATGAATCGATATTAGTGACAAGTAAAAGCTAGCTATTAGCGTATTTCCTAAGTAAAAGCATAATCACATGGTACTTAAACAATTTATATTACATAATATCATATGTGCAACGCCCATCAATCCCAGTAGCAAGACAAGACATTAATCTCACCTTGGTTTTAAGTAGAGTAATTATTTCCGATACTAGCGATTGATAAGATACACAATGGTTTTTTTATTTTAAGTGAAATATGGGTTATTGTGCTGCAATTAACCAACGTATCAACAAAGCCAGTCCTAATACTAGGCCCTAACAGATGAAAGTAGATAATAATTGGTGAGGAATTGAAATAATGCGTAATTCGAGTTTGTCTCCATCTAGAAAAAGTCACTTGCTTCTAATAAAATTGAAATTACCCGACACCATTAGTTAGAAATGTCAAAGTAATTTTTTTCATCGATACAATCTATCTGAAATAACTTAAATCTGATTTATAATTTATATGATTAAAAATTGCATCTCTTCGAGCGTCTAAAACTGGGTCCTTTAACTACAGATTAGGGACGAAATAAAATTTCACCTTGATAATAGGCCGACTGAAATAAATCTCTCAATGGAAACTTATTTTACCAGAAGAACTTAATTAACGTTACTTGAAAGCCCGTATATTTTTATAACCAAGTTGATTATACGTGAATTCAAACTTTTAGAGAGCAAAGATGACACAAGTAGCAATTTTAACATACGTAATAGTACACTACTGATACATACCGACACTAGAACCAGAGCATGCTGCTAGTATGTTCTTAGCTCTTGATTTAGCATCTTCCGGGAAGCTTTCGTCTTCAAGTAGATGCGGAAAAGTTACCAGGGCAGTGACTTGACGAAGAAACGTGATTGGCTTTTGACCAGTTGCATGACAATCACCAATGTTACACTTGACAACTTCACTGAACGATTTTTTATCACCCTAAACAATTATAAAACATGGAACCTGTTTACCTGCTTAAGTTCTTTTTCTATTTGTAGAGCACGTTCAACAATCGGACCACGAACTGCGTATTCTATTTTAATCATATGAGGATTGATAGTGTCAAGCGTCAGCACTTTATCCATGTTTAAAATGATTCAGTGGGAGACTGATTTCTCACTTAAATTAGCATAGAAACTACAATCTCATTTGACCTTGATACTTAAACATACAAACAAACATCGCACGAACAGCTTCAATGCATTATGCTTTATGCTAATAAAAACTCATCTAATTCCATTCCAAACAACGACGGTCGGTCAGATAAAAATCACAAACTTCATAGTTAGTTTCAGAAGCAATGCTATGATCAGTAATTTTGGACTTAAATGTTTTTAGATGCATTCCAATAAATTGTTTTGTGTACACTATATAAGGTCCAGTATGTTTTTCATGGGTTAGTATAAACTGAATTGCTCCTCTGCGCCCGATTCTCGATATATCAAAAACTGGTAACTGGTAGTGTCTGATGGATTGGTGTCTAGCAACTCGGCTGCACTAGTTCTACTAAGTTGGCAGTTGTTTGTGAGTATTTCAATGAAAACGTTTGTTTCAGTGCAGTAGGCTTTCTGGTTACAAGCAGCTATCACATTACCAGGCCGGAGATCACTTAGTTGCGATGTAGAGAACAATAGATAGAAAATTATAAGAATATTTTTGAGATGAAAGCACCAAGTTGTCCTATCATAAAGTGAAGAGCTACATTAATCTTGGCTGTAATCTCTATATAGTTGAAGCTGGTTTTAAGGGCTTCAATGGTTATTAGACTGAGATCGCGCTCTGATGAGAAATTTGGGGGGAACGTCCTTTGAGAACGTCGGCTTTGAGTCACTCCTTTAGAAGAACGTGGTATCACTTCGACTGGTTCAGTTTTAAACCATGACTAACTACCTATTACTCAACAGATATAAGGTCCTTTTGAAGCTCAGTTAAATTATCTTCGCTTTCTATGGACCTTCATGTCATAACACCGTCTGTGTAGATCGATTTTTATTAAACTAATCATTAACGAAAATCGAGAAGAGGAGTCCATCTAAGATGGTCTCCTTTGGAACTCCCGATATTGAATTTCGCCAAATCGCGTGCATGTTAATTCGAAAATTGGCATACTTAGGGTAATTTCTGATTCAACATAGAAGTGGGTTAGTTAAGTGGGAGTGCATGTAGCGTAGAATCCATTCTGAAGGCTTCGTATTTGGGAAAACCCCTCCATGTATTTATTTGTGTTATGATTTTGACGACTCTTTCTGTTTAATATTTTGGTACTCTGTTTAGTCCCAGTTTGGGATGTTAATATTTGTATTTTGTTATAATTCCTATTTTTTGTGCTTTAATTGGAGTTAATATGCTTCCTTCCAAACTGTAAACGTGTTGTTTAAATCGATACTTAATATGGCTACAGCCATATCGGATTTGATACCTCTGTGGTAACTTCATATACTTGAATGGAAGGACGCATTCTTCTAGAGTCGGAAACTCGTTGTGTTATTTCGGATCGGAACAGTAAAATATTAATAATAATAATAATTTATTCCCAAACAATAAACATGTTACAAGAGACATGCCAATTTACAGGCAAGATCAAAATGTTAAGATTAGCAACATATTTCTTTCAAAACGGTATACGGTTACTGAAATATTCCACGAGATTAGTTGGATTCCTATAGATGGAATGTACAGTGCGAATAACTGACGTGAGTTACGAAGGTTGCTTTACGACTATCTTCTTATTGACTGCGAAACGATGCATGGTAAAGCTAGGTTTGCATATAACAAGAATTGATGCGGTAAATGTGCAAAGGTCTGGTTGATATTCATCAGCTAATGATTTCACAGACTCCTAGGTAGGGTTACAAATTATACGGCGAATATGCAGACTAATATAGGAGGATTGGAATAAGGTGCTGAAAAAAGAGGAATAAAGAGAACGGGGCGAGGAGCAGAACAGAAAATATTCTTGTTTAAAGCCGAACAACGACTTAGCATATACGTTAATGGATAAAACAAAGGTATGTTTACGAAGACTTTTTTTATATCAGAACACTAACTGCACACCTGCACTTATGTAGGTCAATGAAGACAGTTCAGTAGTAAGGTAACGAATAGACAATTAATCTTGTGAATAAAGGAAATTCAGCATAACCTAATTGTTAGCATCAATGTTGATTTACAAAATATAACAACTGGGCTCAGTTATCTTATGGTTTTATTTTATTTTATTTATTCTTTTTCTTTTTAACTCTGTGGCTCAAGAGGTTATGAATGAGCTCTTTTTCTGTATGATTGTCCAGATCTGCTTGTAATAGGATTTCTCGGTAGGAAGTTAAAACGAGTGCAAAGTTACAGACATGAGTCGTAGACGAGGTTGAAAAGGAAAAGTAACATCAATATTGCTGATTTGTTACATCCTGCTATATCGTAAGGAGCCGTAAGCAAACAAAATGTTCTGCCACACAGACATGGGTAGATTGAGGTTATCGCCCCATTGTTATGAATGCTGGTCAGATACACCACCCTCCCTCCTTTTGTGATGTTAGGCTCTAAAGTTTAATGGTTGATTGTAAATAATGTTTTCTAGTCTATTCTCTATTTTTTGTACACCTTATCTGAATTCACTCTCTCTACTAGCTCCATGTTACAAGCGATCTAGACAACGTTGCCTTTTGTATGAAAGACAGAATATCCACGTAGCATGCCAGAATGAGTTTTGAAATTGAACTGGGCAAGGTGCGTTTCTGACATCTAACTGTTTCCGAAATCAAGGTTCACTGAAGTGAACTTTCTAAATGTAGTACGGTTTTGAATGTAAATGAACATTATGTAAACCGATATTTCTGGTCTCAGTTGTTTGTTTAGCTGTCAGATGCTATGAGAAGTTTGGATTATTACAACCTGCCTGTCCGAAACGCGTGTTAAGCTTCCTGGTAGTACTCCAAACGCGTAAGCACTTGCCTTAACTGATCGGTGTGGCGTGTGTTGAAAATCTTCGCTATTTCGTGGTTCATGAGATCTTACCTGATTGAAAATATTAGGGAACAAAGACCTTGATTTGTAGGATTTTTGGTTACGCACCTAGAAATATATTTTGCGATTTTCTCCAGGTTTGTTCTATCGCTTGCAACTTGAGTGATAAATCTGCATCTCAATGTCGAGTAAACACTTCGGTCTGATATTTTCAGAGAGACTTTCCACTTTCACCATGTTCTCCTTTCCGTCTGCGGTAAGAGTACCACGTTCAACCCATAATCTACTCTTTCCAGGTTTGTGATTTGTCGGGGATACACTGCGTATTCTGAATGATGTCTCCCACTGTTTGTCAGTGGTCATCTATTTTGTGCTCTCTGATGGTCGTGTATTTTACCCCAGCGTAGTAAAAGGAGGAAGAGTTTTTGTCCCTTCTGATCATTTGATTTGTGACTATGTTGAACATGACTGCGTTCTTGACCACTAATTCCTACTGTGTGAACATGGTAATTCTCGACTAGCAGCTGATCATTTATTGCAAAATTATCCGAGTTTGATGGTTGTCTATTATCTATCTGGTCGCTTTCCACACATGTTCAGTCATTCAGGAATTTTCAGTGGTTGTGCCAACTCGCCTTAGGAACAACCAGTGAGATTTGCATGTTGTTTGGTGAGATTAAAATATGGAGTTTTGAAGTCTCCAGATAGTAGTCTTGGATAAATCCAAGGTGTAATAGTTCGAATGTTGGCACAACCAGCATATCTTACAGGGCTGTAACAGATGAAAGGGCCGGTGAACCTCTCCAACTAATTAATTTATATCCTCTGTGTTGTGGCAACACCAGCATGGTTCTCTCACATCAATTAGTTGGGTACCGTGTGGCGTTACGACCTTGAAACGGCTGTTAGTGATAATGGCCACTCCAACTTCTGTCTAGTGTTCTCTATCGCATGCATCGCAAGCTCACTTCATCGTCTGCGACGTCAGAGGTTATTCATGATTCAGTCAGCATGATGACCTCAGATCGTTGTGGGAGCTGGTGTTTCTGATTTCTCGCAGCATCTAATGCGAATACAGAAATCGTTGTTCTTGATGTACCAAGCCTAAAGCACCTGAATTAGGTCTGAGGTCCGTAGCCATCAAAGATGGAGCTATCGCCCCTGTTGAAGATCATGCAAGTGATTTTCATCCAGGCTACCACTAAAACTCCGGAGCACCATGCCTTTTGACGTCCTGGAAGCTGCTCGTACTGACCTCATTTTGTCGGGCCCAACTCGGATTCTCGCGGAAAATTTAATGAAGGGTCCCTGAAAAGTTAGGAGGATTTCTTCGAGAATTTGTGCTGAGCTTATGGTAACCATGGAGGCGGTTTAGCTTTAGTGACATTCTGACCTTTGTAAAGAAGGCATAGTTTGGCAGGGGTACAGCTCATTCCAAGAAATACGCACTAAATGACCTACTGTTCTTTACCAAAGGTAACTCTACTTTCAAGTGAGCTATTCTCCATCACTGGTACGTTAATCAAATTTAGGGAATTTTGTTTATTGTCCCTGACCCTGACCCTGTCAGTTTTGACTCTGCTATGCCGTCATTTCCGTTTCTTAGACGTATCCGGTGATACGTAGAGATGCTAGGGGGGTTGCAACAACCGGCAGTTTCGTCGGCATATCACTTGGAGCTACGGCTAGCTTCGTTGCCTGTTTCATCAGTGTGGTGCTGGACGACTTCGGTTTATTTATATGGATTTTTAGTGGCATTTATAGGTGTGGTCTATGGCTTCCTTGCTGCAAATTTTTTATGCCAAGCTGTCCTCCAATTCGTACAGCTATACCAGAACTGCTTAGGTATTACAGTGTCGCAGTGACAATGAACCCGTACAATACAGTTTTCCTTTTGTGAGCTCTGAACTGTAGGCTGTATGGACCGAGTTTAAAGATGCCTTTTGCTCCTATTCTTATTTCGCTTACTGGTCTCGCTGGGAGTAGAAATATGAGAAGGGTTTCATCTTAGTATCTTTGCTGGAGACTCAGTGGAGGTGTCTGTGTTGAGCGATTAGAATTATGAACATTACTCCCAGGCTCACCATCGAGTGACGTTTTTGCGTTTTTTCAATACTCTGTCACTCCAGACTGGGATTTTGACTCAATATTAACCCCGGAATACATACCTATTCTAGTTTTCCTAATTGTTATGTTGTAGGAATTGTTAGCAACGCCATTAATGGAGATGATACCTGAAAGAGTTAATGACGGAAAATATAACTTTGAGAAAATACGTGAGGTAGGAGTTTTCGAAGGAGGAAAATAATAATATTTTTAATAAATATATATTTACGAAAGAATAGAAACCTGAATTGCATCTTGACCTTTGATCGTCCCAGCAATCAACTTCTCATGGATCTAGTAACTTTCCTACAAGTCATGTGTCGTTGAATGCATGAATGTGTGTTTGCTCCCGAAGCAACTACGAAAAAAGCAGTTGATCGAGAGAGGTAGACCTACGGCAAAGTGGCGGGTCCGTTTGTCAAATTGTTACTCAGACTGTCTACTGATTAACAGAGACAAAGTTTATATTGTCGGGAACGATTTACTAATCAAATCTGGTGTCCGAACTGTATTATTTCCTCTAAATGGGAGGACGTCAACGAAGACTCGTTACTTTCGAAGCGCACGCACTCAAGATGAGTATGATATGGATATAAACAAACTAATGACACCTGAATAACAGCCTCACTATCACCATAATGACAATTACAGCATAAAGAATGGAAACTAGCACATATAAACAAGCAACTGTAACGAATCTCGAATGAAAAGATATCAGAGACACATAGCAATTCGTACGATATACTTCTTCGCGGGATAACAAATGTTAATCCACGAACTCTGAGAATCAAATAAGAAGTAGATCCTAGAGGAAGAAATATATTTGATACTGGCCTCTTGATATCGAAATAATATCGAGGCAAGAGAACGTACAATAGGCTAACGTTCACGCTAGAGACGTGCGAATAGGAGAATGGAAATAACACGCTTGGCGCCAGAGAGATAGTCTTTAGTAGAGATAAACAAGAGGTGTAAAATATAACAATTATGGTCAGAATTAAGTATAATAATAAGTGTTTATATTTCAGCAGCTGTGTTTTCTTCCTAAAAGTAAACCACTACAGACATAACAAAGGAGTATGTATTATCAAGTTCACGTGCATTATTATTAGTTTATGAGGAAACCATACGATCAAATTCTGTATTGTTCTCTACCCGAAACTGAGCAATATAGTGCGAACGAGGTGAAAAATACATGCAATGGAAAGAGGGTGATTGGATCGAGAGGAGATTTAAAAGATAAGACCTAGATGCTCGTTCACCGATAATAGGATAAAATCTGATTTTCACTATGAAATTGGAATATTGAAGCACTCACGTTGACAGAAACCTCCTCTTCTTTTTCTGATAGTCGATCTAAAAACAAATCAGATAAACGTAATCATACGAAGGTGGAGCTACTGTGTGGTGAGACTAGCCGTCTCGATCAACTGATCACTTCTTAGTTCCTTCAAACATCAGAGTACACATATTCGTCCAGTTAGAAATGCAAAATTTGTAGACGGTCATATAGCTGTCATCTAGTCGCCTTATGAATGATAGTTTCCTGCACCATCTTATAAAGTATAGATAACCATTATACAACCATTTCAAAATAAAACTCATTTTTTCACAGTGAAACTAAAGACTATAAATCCTTGCTCAATTAATTCATCTCAGTAAGCTTTCTTAAATTGAAATTTCTTGGTTGACCTCTTACAAATATCAGAAAACAATCCAGTTTCTATACTGAATGGGGAAATTTAAACATTCCCGAAGACCGAAACTTTGTCTCCTCTCATTGAAAGACAGTCAAAATAACAAATCAGATAAATTTAATCATACCGAGGTGGAACCACAGTGTGGTATCTAGCTGTCTTGATCAACTGATCCCTTCTTAATTCCTTCAGACAGTAGCATACACACTTTCGTTCAATTACAAACACAGGATTTGTAGAAAAAAGTGCTGTATACAAGTGAGGTTTCTTGGTACGACGGTCAAAAATAACGTTGGAATCTCAGGTGTTTTCAGGTTCTACTCATGAGCAGTATATATTCACTAATTTAGTGTCATTACTTTCCTCCCTCACGAATTATATCCTGAGTATTTTCCTCTTCAAAATATCTGGCAATCCAGTCTGTAGTCTGTTCAGTAACTTGTACAGTATTAACGTTGTCACCAGTCCCCACACTATATATACTAGGGTTAGTAGTGAGTCAAAAATCCCAGGTTCTTGCAACACGATTATGAAATAGCTGAAAGCGATATGTAGTAGTGTGTAAAACAGGGGTAACCCTAACCAAACATATCAACCACATCTACAACTACTCAGTCAAGATGACACTGTCGTCCGGATTCTTACTCCCAATAAGACTAGTAGGCAGAAAATTAATTGGAGCAAAACGATGTCCACAAACTCCAACGACACTGCCTTCTGTTCAGAAAAGACACAACAGCGACACAATAGCCCGTCAGCAGTGAATGAGACCTCTGCAGTAGATGAGTTCACGGCATTAGTAATACTGAAGTAACTAGAATGTAATATGGACCCATGTTAAGGACCACCAGTCTCTAGTTCTAGAACGTTTGTCGAAAGAATAGAATCAATAA